AAAAAAAAAAAGCTTCAGCATAGACTGATATCTGCAACTTGAACACAGTAGCCAAAGTTGGGAAGATCTATGGACCTTGCCTGGGGACACCCCAGGAAAGAGATCATAAACAGAAGCCTAGGACCAATTGCTCATAAAGCAGAGTGTTTGGCAGAAGATCACCCTGAAGTATCTCACACCTTGAGATGATTTTTAGTTTTTTTGAGATAAGGTCTCCCTGTAGCCCCAGCTGGCCTGGAACTCACTATGTAGACCAGGCTGGCCTTGAACTCATAGAGGTCCACCTGCCTCTGCCTCCAGAGTGCTGGGATTAAAGGTGTGTGCTACCATGCTTGGCTTTTGAAAATGATTTTTAAAAGGGGTCTCATATTCAAAATATTTTGGAAACAATAATCTAGCAGAGAAAGCTAAGTGTAGGCTCCATAAAGAAGAGGCTTATCTGGCTTATTTTCACTGCATTCCACACTGGGTACTCAATAAATTTTGTTGAAGCAACAGAGTAAAACTTTCACATTTGAAAATGGTTTTAAAGCTGTTTCAAAGCAAAATGAGAGTTTAAAGACAACTTCCAGCTCAATAGCAGAATGCTTGCCTAGCATTTGCTAGGCCCTGAGTTCAATCTCTAGCACCATAAAACAGTATCAACAAAATTTTATTTTTAGAATAATAAGGTTAATCAAGCTGTTCAATAAAGAGGCCTGGGCATCATTTTATACTGTTCCCTTAAAATATAACATTGCTTATTTCATTATAAGCTCAAGGCCTACCTGGTCAACTTAGCAAGACTTTGTCTCAAAATAAAAAAAATAGACACAGAGGTTGGACTGGTTAAGCATCTGCCTAGCACCTGCAATGTCCTAGGTTCAATCTCCAGTGCTTGCTATAACAAAAGGAAGGAAAGGGGAAGGAGAAGGAAAAAAAAAAAAAAAAAAGACCAGGAAGAGATCCTGAGAAATGAGAGCAGAGTTATAAAACAGATTGGGGGAGGGAGTAGCAATGAGATTCAGCTGATAAAGACACTTTGCCACTAAGCCTGATGATCTGAGTTGGAGCTCTGGGACCCACATGGTAGGAGAGAACCAACTCCAAATTGTGTCCTATGACCTCCACAGACATGCCATGGAATGCATGCATGAGCACATGCACATACACACACACACACACACACACACACACACACACACAGAGTGTGCACGAACACTAAATAAATGTAATAAAAGCAATAGGATATCAGGGAGGCAGAGGCACTTCAAAAGCATTAAGAAAAGCCTGACCTCCATTTATTCATTATGTTCTATCAAACAGGACAGAGAAGCCCACAACAGCTGCAGACTGACACAGGAAAGGAAAAAACAGCATGAGTTAGGAACATTGTACTGTGAGACCATAAAAATGAGTTTTCTTCAAATCTTGCCATGATATTTGGACTGGGGCCAGCTGGTTGACAGGCAGGCAGGCAGGCAGGGAGGGAGGCAGGGAGTCACGGAGAAGGAGAGACAGGGAGGCAAAATTTGTTGAACTCTTAACTCTGTCTCTGAGGTAACTGATCTGCTTGCATACTGACATCATCCATACTCAATAATTGCTTATAATGGTTAAGAATTTTTTAAAATATTTTATTTATTTTTATGTATTTGAGTGTACTGCCGGCATGTATGTATAAGTATGCCATGCAGTGCAACACAGAGGTCAGAAGACGGCATTGGATTCCCTGGAACTGGCATTATGGACGGTTGTTAACTACCATGTGGGTGCTGGGAATCGAATCCAGGTCCTCTGCAGGAGTAGTCAGTACTCTTAACTGCTGAGCCATCTCTTCAGTGCCATGGTTAAGAATTTTTAAACAGCCGGGTGTGGTGGCGCACCCCTGTAATCCCAGCACTCGGGAGGCAGAGGCAGGCGGATCTCTGTGAGTTCGAGACCACCAGCTGGGGCTACAGGGAGACCCTGTCTCAAAGACAAAAAAAAAAAAAAAAAAAAAAAAAAAAAAAAAAGAAAAAGAAGGGCATCCTAGGGGATAGCAAAGTAACTTGAGTTGGGATTGG